GGAGCCGCGGCCGCGAGGACGCCGCGCGTGCGCGCGCGGAGCCGCCATCACGGTCTGGTGCCCCCTTTCGACTGCTCCCCTGGGTGTCACCGAACGGGGCTGCGGTGGGGAAACCTGTGGTCGTGACTTCGTTTTTACTTCTTTGTTTGTTTGCTTGCTTTTTGGCTTTTAGGTGTCGATTCTCTTTTGCCGAAAGAAAGAGCTTAACTAAACATCCGAAATGGGAAAGGAGAAGACCCACATCAACATAGTCGTCATTGGCCACGTCGATTCTGGCAAGTCCACCACAACTGGCCACCTCATCTACAAGTGTGGTGGCATTGACAAGAGGACCATTGAGAAGTTCGAGAAGGAAGCTGCTGAGGTTTGTGGGCCTTCAACATCCAGCAGCACGTAAAGGGAGCGTGGGTGAACAAAGAGAAGTTCAGTCGCAAAACTAAGCTGATAAATTGCGAATGTACTGTTTTGCGGGCACAGGGAGGCCGCTGGTTTGAAATTGTGCCCATAGTTGAAAAAGCAGTAGTGTTTGTATCTCTTGAATCTGCGCATTCTGTTAGTTGGCCCCCGCTCAAATTATTGATGCTGAAACGAGCAGAACAGAAGAACAAGTAGCATCTACATAACGACGGTAACGATAGTCTGGGATTGGAGCTAACGTGCAGTTCCCGTCTTAAGTCTTTGTGTGCGTTTAGTTGAGGATAAAATTAATGCAGTTGTTATGATTGCTCTTATACCTGAAAATCCAGGAGTGCCTGCACTTCAGCACTGGAGCTTGTAGAATGCTAATCTTAAACAAATTATTCATCCTTTTTCTATGTAATATTGGAGATCAGGTCTTAGCAAACATTTTGCACGTGAAACATACTAAAGCTAGTGTGAGAAGCAGTTTAGATGTTTGATTGTGGCGGGGATTGCATTACTAAGAAAAGAAAAATTTCTGAAGGACACTTGATAGGAGAGCTTAGCTTTACAAGGTTTAACTTGTAATGTGTTAGTACAGTTAACAAGCTGTCAAGAGTACTAAAAGTGTCAGCAGGTTAAATAACAAAACGAGTTGGCATCTGTCACTAGTAGTGCCAGATGAATCTAGGCCAGAGTTTTGTAAGCAACAACACTTACCAGTATAAGCTACTCTTATTTTTAGATTTTTGCCCTTTAGGTAGTGTCTCTCAGTTCGTGATTTTTCTGAACAAAATTAAGTACGTATTTCAAAAACACTGAATTTTTTTCTTAATCGATAGATGGGCAAAGGTTCCTTCAAATACGCCTGGGTCTTGGACAAGCTGAAAGCTGAACGTGAACGTGGTATTACTATTGATATTTCCCTGTGGAAATTTGAAACAAGCAAGTACTACGTCACCATCATTGACGCTCCTGGACACAGAGACTTCATTAAGAACATGATTACTGGAACTTCTCAGGTATGTAAATAGAACTAAGGATTTTAGGAGCTTGGGAGTGGGGTGTTTTTTTTGTTTGTGTGTATCTTAACACACAGACACGTATGTGAACTTCATAGTTGATGTTACTATTTTTTTCTTTCTTTCTTTCTTTCTTTTCAAAGGCTGATTGTGCTGTCCTGATTGTCGCTGCTGGTGTTGGTGAGTTCGAGGCTGGTATTTCCAAGAACGGGCAGACCCGTGAGCATGCCCTTCTGGCCTACACACTGGGTGTGAAACAGCTGATTGTTGGTGTTAACAAGATGGATTCCACCGAGCCACCTTACAGCCAGAAGAGATACGAAGAAATTGTTAAAGAAGTCAGCACTTACATCAAGAAAATTGGCTACAACCCAGACACTGTAGCTTTTGTGCCAATTTCTGGTTGGAACGGAGACAACATGTTGGAGCCTAGCTCTAACGTAGGTTTGACGTTTGTATTAAGAACTTAATTGATCCTCAGTAATCTTATTAGTTCATGTAATAGTAAAACATGCATATGTGTCGGTAGTTTAAGTTCAGTTTGTGGGTGCTGAGCTCAAAATCGGATCGTGCCACTCGACAAATTCTTAGTCTAGTCTTATGTCATCAAAACCAGCAGATAATTTATGGCTGGGCTGTTTTTATTACAGATGCCCTGGTTCAAGGGATGGAAGGTTACCCGAAAGGATGGCAATGCCAGTGGAACCACCCTCCTTGAAGCTCTGGATTGTATCCTGCCACCAACTCGTCCAACTGACAAGCCTCTGCGACTGCCTCTTCAAGACGTCTACAAAATTGGCGGTATGTATTCTTGCACCATTAGTTTCTTACTTGCTAGCAGCAAACAATAGATGGGGCAGAAATGGGTTTGCTTGCCTGAAAACAGGAAAATGTGGAATGTTTGTCTGAAGCCTTCTTTTTGCAGAGGGGCATCATTCAGAGCTGAATGACTAAAGTCACTTCTTTTTTACAGGCATTGGTACTGTACCAGTTGGCCGTGTGGAAACTGGTGTTCTGAAGCCAGGCATGGTGGTTACGTTTGCCCCTGTTAATGTTACAACTGAAGTAAAATCTGTTGAGATGCACCATGAAGCCCTGAGCGAAGCTCTTCCTGGTGATAATGTTGGTTTCAATGTTAAGAACGTATCTGTGAAAGATGTTCGCCGTGGTAACGTTGCTGGTGACAGCAAGAATGATCCTCCAATGGAAGCCGCTGGCTTCACTGCACAGGTAACTTTGCAGCTGTTGGAAAACGTCTGAAATGTAGCTGTGGATTGTGAAATAGAAAAAGCAACGTTCTGCTAACTGTAGGCTAAGCTAAAAAGGAACAGACTTGTGTTCTGAGACTTGATTTACTTTAAGCAGATACATGGAAGTTCTTTCCAAAATAACTCATGGTCAGCTTGTGCTTTTTTGGTTTCCTAGGTTATTATCCTGAACCACCCTGGCCAAATTAGTGCTGGTTACGCTCCTGTGCTGGATTGCCATACTGCTCACATTGCTTGCAAATTTGCTGAGCTCAAAGAGAAGATTGATCGTCGTTCTGGCAAGAAGCTGGAGGATGGCCCAAAATTCCTGAAATCTGGAGATGCTGCCATCGTTGATATGATCCCTGGCAAACCGATGTGTGTTGAGAGCTTCTCCGATTATCCTCCTCTGGGTAAGGGATCCTCTAAGATGATGTGTTAAATACTCACTTTAGTCAC